TTACGAGTTGGCAGAGATCGGGAAAAAAGACACGGCCACATCGCGTAGGTGGTGGAGTTTGGCAGGGCAGGAGGAGGTAGGAGGATGCGTGAGGTTTTATGGTACAGACGGAGGGGGCAAATCGCAGAAGACACCGTAGCAGGTGCCGAGACCTAGCCTGTGTGGGCAAGAGGTCGGGTAAGAACCGCCTTAGTTGGTCGATTCAAACCACCTGAGTATAACTGCCACGGAAAGCCGTGGAACGCTTAGTTGTACGCGATAGGACGCGGCACGGTCCATTGTAGGACGTCTGTAATGGCTTGCGAATGCCACCAACGCGAAGGAACTCAAAAGAAGAGGTTCGAAAGTTAAAATCAGTACGTGACCAACTGCGTGGCCTAACCTTCTGACTTAATAATTAGCATTCACATCCCGCAAGTTTTGTCGGGTAATTCCATTGTAATGGACAGCCATAATGGCTACGTCGCGCCTCTCGCTAGCGCCTGCACCTGCGTTCTAGCTACAGCCTGCTATGGCACGCACGCTTGCCCGGCTTCGATTTGTCTCGTTGCAATTCACTGTCTGCACCACGCATTCGGTCGATTCTCTGCCCTCACCACGCGGGGCTCGTCACTACCTTCGCGCGGCCTCGGAGCCAATCAACTCAACTCCTCTCGCTGATTGGTAAGACAGGCGGGAACAGTCCAGAACAATAGAGCCAACAATCTGCAGCGTCACTTTTACAGCAGCGATCTTCGGCGACACAGGGCTCGTCGATCTCGTCGGACGCATCCTCGTCCGGTTACCAAATTTCCCCTTCATTATTCTGTACAGAATAAAGTGTCCTAAATAAATGGCGTCCTGCTTCTAACAACTTGGGATATGGCCTGAAGTTGTGGCGTACTGAGCGTACACCATTACCGCTTAGCGGCTACACTATAAATAAAGCTCCGCTCCGAATCTAAGACAACCCCACTCACCAAAGCGAGCATCGGCTCCTGGTCATGTTTGGTAGTCGTATTGTTATCAAGCCCTACTTAAGGTGCTTCTCCGCTGAATTTGAGCTAGCGACGAAAAAGTTCAATTAGACTTTTAAATAAGGGATGGTAAGTCGCCGTACGAATACGTGAACAACCGAGGTGGTTACGGCAGTATAAAAGCTTAGTTTAAACTTCATGGCCTCAATCGGTAATGAAAGTTGAACGTTCGCCGTAGAAGGACATCAGGTGCTCCAGAAATGTGAGAGTAACAGTACCTGCGGGTATATCTGGAATAAGCTACGATTGGCCATCGAGTAAGGCAGTCACTCGCAGGACGGGAGGTTTAATCGACTAGTGAGACTGTGAAAGACCAGTGATCAATTAAAAATCCCAAAGCGTACCGTGATAGGGAGTGGGTGAGGGGATTGTTGAAATACATGAAGTAGAGAATAAAATGGTCAAAAAAGGTCAAATTTAGCCCTGCAGCCCCACTGACGGTAGGAAAAGCCTAGGCGCCTGAATTGCGGGAATGGTGGTAAGAGGAGTTTTATGGATGGGGCCCTAGGACAGGCCAAGGAAAAGGCGGAAATGCTGAAAGGCAAAGGGAGTCATAATCGATCAAGCGAGGATAGTTTAAAAGTGGCGAAATTTGGATGCGTAACCTCATATTAAAAGGTGCATGCAGAACAGTTTGCGGAAGCCGCTGGACTGTATGGTACAAGGAAAAATGAGCGGGAAAGCTGTTAACCAATACGAAGTGGGGACGCATTGCCTAGGTCGCTACGCAAAATGTTCAAGGAAAATGGCGGGTGATCGGGCCGAAGACGCAGAACAAAGCGAAAAAATGGTCACAGAAAGCAATTGAAGTAACGTAAATGTGTCGTGGCACTTTTGACTTAAAAGAATGATACCCAAAATGAAATAGTAGCCCATAAAACCGTGAAGTCAATTGTTGAACGGGACGGAGAGTGTTAATTGATTGCGCAGTCCCCAGGGTTTTGAAAGCGGCTGTATGCAATCCTGATTAATAAATATTTTTATTCATTTTTCTGCCGACCGTAAACGAGCACACCGCGCAGAAGACGGGACGCAGTTGGACAAACCCACAGAGGTTACCAAAATGCGGGAGGCAATCTGTTCGCCTCTGACTTTTCACGAGGAAACTGGAGTCATTAGGTGTGCGACTCGTGTGCGCCTAAACCGCACCACAGCAGTCAAATGATACAGCATTTGACGGGACTTGTGTTTGAAAGCGCTCCTAAACGAGGGGAATAACATTGGGAAAACTTTCCTGAGACACGTAATTGGATCGTAGCCAGCTAATAACAGTCAACAAGCAGTACTGCAAACTTCTTAGCAAACGGATCGGTAAATTGATCTAAAACGCTGATAATGAAAACGTAGGGGAATATGCGGCAGAAAAGCAGCACACGGCTGCGGATATCATGCGTTTTTTGCAAGCCCGGCCCATGTACATTTACAAGCGACGGTCTCCTGGAGGTTGTCTGGTATAAGAAAACCATTAGTAAAATGTTGTTGAATAAGTCAACATTCTTCCTAAAGGCAACGCGCACAGAGCGCCCCGCAGAAGCACCCCGGTAACGTAACCTGGCTGCACGCACTCACTGGAGTGGGATCGGAAAGGAGTAGGGCCGTTGACGCACGTAGCCTAGCCACTCACTGGATTAGGATGGAAAGTGACCGCATGGTCAACTGGAAGCTAGGTCAGTGTGCATTCCGTCCTAATATTGCCAGTGACGCCATCTTAACGTCATCTCGCCCACTCAAAAATAATTCGGTAGGTCGATCGTATGACATTCGTCAAGTGCGTCTGCATGACCGAACCCTATCGTTAAACAAATAGAATAAAGGGCAGTAATCGGATCAATGAGTTTGTGTGGATTTGATGTCAACCAGGAGGCCGAACAAGGATATAAAGCTGGCACGCATAATGGCGGCATGAACGTACCAATTGTAAATATCCAGCAAAAGGAACGTTGTCTTGAGTGAGGCATCGTTGACACATGTTTTAGGGAGTACTATTAGCTATTTAGTGAATAAATGTGCATTTAAATAATATAAGGTCAACTGGAGATGATGAACTTAACTGATGTCAACTTCACTGCCCGCAGGGAAGTTACGACAGGCATTCCTAGATAAAACGAAAAACAAGTGAATTGTGGACGTTAGTCTGACCCACTTCGTCGCTATTACCGGGCGAAGAGCGATATTTATGCCGAGAAAGGCTTGATGAGAACACGGACAGTGACTTGCGCGTGATTTCTTTTAAGGTGATAGTGGACTTGAGCTGCATCTGCCGCACTTTCTCCTTCCCCTTCTGGGCCCCGCATCATGACAGAGTCCTGAAGATCGGAGGCGGGAAAGGGCGCAGGTGACTGTCACAGAATAAACACGCATCTAGACGTACTACGCACATCCCCTGGTCCACAACATACAACTGACTAAAATTTTACAAAGCAAAACGGCGGAGGCTCGGATCCAAAAGTGAAGCGTCAGCGATGTCATTGACGTGCGTCGAGACCCCACATATTATCGTACCGGCAAAAACCGTCATTGGTGAACAAGCCCGAAATAGTAGTGGGAGATTTCGGGTGGTGAGTAGTTGAAGGACTTCGCCGGTGCGGAACAAAGGCAGTGCGAAGCTGGCAACTTCAGGGGTGAGGATGTCTATATGTTTAATTAGCTCCTCGATGATAGGCGCAGCAGGGTAGGATGCGGCACAACTAGGGCGTGGACCGCAACTGTCGATTGGTAATACCCGCAGATGTGATCGGTAGGAGCTAGGGCTCTTAGTCGCAAGGATAGCTTTCAAAGAGGAATGCAGTCGTCGGAGGAACCTATGCCTGAACACTATCACATCCAGATTTTGTCCGTTTGTCAACTTCTTGAGGCACGTAGGGGGCTGCATAGGCTTCCTGTCATCAAGATCTTTCCCAGCAGCGAACGCTGCAAACGTATTTGGGTTGAAAGGAGATGCGGGAAATGAAAGCCGCCTTTAAGGCGGCTTTCAGGACGTCTGTTGGCGGGCTGTCAATGACATGACGGAAATCGGTTAGACGTCCATTGGCACAGCAATCGGTGTAGAGCGCCTTCTTGTCGTTTCTCCATTCATCTAGCGCAATACAAAATGAGATTTCACTGTGCGCAGGCAGTATACAAAATGGAGGCTGGGCCACGCGACTGGCAGATCGAAGGTTTGGGTGCTGCTTGTCAGCTGACTAGCAGATTCTTAAACTATGACTAAGCAATGGCGCCCAGAGGTCAGATAAATACGCTAGATGACTGGTGAGTTTTCGTCGAGACTTAAATGCAGCATTTGGTGTTGGATGCACACGTGTCAAGGCAGCGTAGTCAGCAAGCCAAGCCCTATAAAAATGGAAGACAAGGGCAAAAGAAATCCAAATTAAATCTGGTTAAGCACAGAATTCAAAGGAAATGTGCAAGGAGCAAAACGGGTCCTACTTCCTGAATGTACACGGACCCATTACTCATTGCTAAGAATTAACATTCCAGGACGACTAACGCCAGTCATATGGAAAAAAAAGAATAAGCCGCGATGCGGCGACGGAAGTAGTGTTTATGCCTATAAATGTTGGGCAATTTTAGGGGCTTCTTTGACACGCTAAAATAAGGTTCTTCTGCCCGTTCTTGCTTGCTTGCTTGCTTGCCTCTGTCTACTTGTTTTTGTCCTCGTTGTAAGCCAAATGATGATCTGTTGAATGTATCTGCTCACCAGTTATATTTCAGCAAGAAACTAACTTAGAGAGGGATAGGAAACTCTGCTTCGCGTCTCTCTACCCTTCCCAATCCCTCTGCCTCCCGTACCTCAAAAAGTCCTACGGCGAGAGCAACAGCGATCCCGTAGGCAGTCGAGGCTAACTCTGGTCGTTCTCCCACTGAACATAGTCGTTGCCCATAGTGGAGACCAGCGGCCGTCTGGGATGTCTGAGCAACCCTTTTTGGGGACAGCACTGCTCACCCCTGCGAGGATGACGAGACTGTAAAAAGTGCCCTAAACGAATGCTGGGACCACGACCTCTGCGCACTGATCGTGGCTGGCAGACGCTAAACACGCGGTCCAAACAAACAAATAAGAAACACACACTCTCTCTCCCTCTGTTCCCCATCCTCCTGCCCGTTGCACCAACTCACAGGCAGGTAGGGTGAGTCCGCTCAATCTCACAGCCTGCAATGTTTGTTCCCTTTTGAAGAAATCCCTAGAGCAATCGACCGGTAAGGAGGACGGCGCTAAAGCCCCGGATTTGGCGCGCTGCAAGGTGAACATCGCCGCACCCAGCGAGACCCGCTTGGCCGAACAAGGCCAACTGGAGGAGGATGTTTACGGTCCCACAGCCAAAGGCACCGCTCCTCTTCTCACCCTACTCACTGAGAAGACGCAACTTCCGCAACGAGGGGTCGAACACTCCTCAGGCGTCCTCAGCCATCCCTCCACCATCACCGACGCCGCTATCGCCCGTCTGTCTCAAGTCAAGACTAACGTCAACCTCGACCTCCCTCCCTCCCCCACTAAATCATGAAGGCCGTACGGCTGCTCTCCAGCTGGAAGGCGCTCGGATTGGGCGCAATCCCTACCGAGATCTACAGGCGCCGTGCCCCCCAACTCATTGATCCTCTGAATGCGCTCTTCCAGGAGATGTCGCGCCAAGGAGAAGTCCCCCAGGATTTTAAGAACGCCACAATCGTGCACCTTCACAAGCCGGAAGGAAACCGTCAAATCTGCGACAACCACCGAGGCATTTCCCTGCTGAACTTCTTAGGGAATATCTTCGCTCGCATCCTTCTTAACCGTCTGAACAGCCGTCTGGAACAGGGTCTCATGTTGGAAAGCCAGTGTGGCTTCCGCTGTCATCGTGGGACCACCGACATGATAATTGTCCCCCGTCAACTGTAGGAGAAGTGTCAGGAAATTTGGATCCATCTCTACTCTGTCTTTGGGAATATGACAAAGGTTCTTGACACGGGGAGTTTCGAGGGACTGTGAAAAATCATGCAGAAATTCAGCTGTCCCAGGCGATTCGCCCAGATGGTGCGTCAGCTACACGATGGCATGGCGGCGTGGGTCACTTACAATGGAGTCGTCTCAGAGGCTTTCGCAGTGACTAACGGAATGAAGCAGGGCTGAGTCCTCGTACCCACCCTCTTCAGTCTCATTATCTCTGCCATGCTGATGGAAGCCTACCGCAAAGAATGTCCTGGGAACCGCATCGTCTAAAGGACTGGCGACCAACTCTTCAGCTACCGGTGAATGCACTTCCAGTCGCGTGTATCCACAACTAACGTCCACGAACTTCTCTTCGCCGACGACTGGTCTCTCAACGTCACCTCTGAAGGGGACATGCAAAGGAGCGTGGATCTCTTCGTCGCCGCCTGTGACAACCTCGGCCTGGTCATCAACACGGCAAAGATGGTAGTTATGCATCAGCCGCCACTCGACGCTCTCTACGTCGTACCCAAAATCAACGGGAATGACTCCCCACTGCAAGCCGTGGACGACTTCACCTATCTGGGCAGCACCCTCACTCGCAACACCAAAATCGACGATGAAGTGGCCCACCCAAACTTTCACCGGACGTTTAGGGCATCAATCGGCCTTATTGAACATCTTCCAGCCAACTGTAGCACCAGAACGACATCATCCAATATCCCCCCTCTACCTCTGTCTCGTCCCCCACGCCGACAGTCAACACTGACCGCACTCCTCAACCCCCACTGCCATTCTCCTCCACCGCCTCAAAATCCGTTGCGAAGGCTACTGCACCCGCCGCCACTGCACTCAATCCTAACACACTGACAATCGTCAACCTCAGTACCACCAACATCAGCGACGTGGGCTCGGTCCATACCTGTCCTCATTGCGAGCGCACCTTCACCTCACACATCAGCCTGGTCGGTCACTTGCAAGTCAGTCGCACAGAGACTGGCGAACCAGTGCCTGGAGCACCAACATACGTACACCCGACGCATCCGCCTCAACTGCCCTCACCGCACCCGCAAATTCATCCGTCACATGGGCCTAATAGGCCGCATGCGCATTCGCGAAAACCTGCGGCAGACAACTGCCGGCTACACCACACCATCACCTCTACCCTCACATACAACACAACATCATCACCCATCAGAAGCATCCAACTGACAACTCCCTTGCAAGTGGGAAGTGTGCGTCTCGACTCTGTCTCCATGCGGCTCCTTTGCTGCATGTGCGATTCGAGTCCGAGACTATCGTGGTGCGTCAAACGTCGTGGCTTGGAAGGCCGCTGACTGACGCCCCAACTCAGTCCACACAGTCTGCCCAGTTGTGTATGTGTCTGTTTGGAGTGGCCGACTGGGCAATAGCTCCCTCTTAACGTGACCTATGCCACTCTCACGCATGTGAGATATATGCCGCCCAACCCCCGTTGTGCGAAATTATGATGCTTGTGTTGTGGGGGCCAGGTCGTGCATGTAACACGTGCAGACAAGGTTACCAGACTATGTCAACCAGCGCGCCCATTTCCCGCATCTGTCAACTGACCGGCTCGGACAGTAGCTGAGGCACAGGAAGGGGAAGGGAGAATGAGGTCGAAGGCTCAGCTCACATTCCTCACTATAAACAATCTGACGCGCTTGAAGCTATCACGGTGCCCTTCATGCCGTGACTTGGAAGGTTGCCAACTGACAGGATAACTTGGGCATCGCAGTCGGTTCAGTGTTGCGTGTTTGTGTGGAGCGACCGACTGGTGGTCTAAGAGTCAGACTACAATGGCTCCTTCCTAATGTGGCCTTCATGGCATTCCCACTCCATGGAATCTGAGCCGGGTGTAGCGGCACGCCTAGATGCGGGTCTGACCGTACCAGCTATCTGCGCCCTCACACGCCTTCGGTTTTTTGACTCTGTCTTGACACCGAGTCCAGATGGGGAATGAGGAGGAGAGAGTGTGGTGGGGTTGCGCAAGTCAACATCCACTATAAACTAGATCACGCGTTAGTCACCGTGCCTGTTTCACCATGCTGTGTAGCACACGGTGGACATCGGTGGCCACTTCTTCGGAACTGTCGCCTCAAGCTCGCTTATTTGCCAGAATCGGCTGTTTTGGCTGTATCCTTCACGATCGTGACGAGTGTCCTTTTATTTGGAACACTTTAAAGCGTTCAGGTAAAAGATTCACTAGCTGGAGTTTTACTAGTTTAGTTTCACTACTCGTCAGCAAACTACCCAGCAAGCTTTCGCACACTGGATGGCGCCAGCTCTCTAACTATCTGTGTTAAAAATAGCGATCGCAGCTGCCCAAACCAGTCACGCATACACGCTTACGTTGCGTTAAGGCAACTTAGGCGATCAGCTAAAGGTGATTTCAGAAAATGCTTATACCAAAAGATTGCAGGTTCCGAAGAGAAGCCTACAAAATCCACTGCGTCATCCTGAACCGGAGAACCGTTTTAGAAGACACAATACAATGTACCATTTAAACATCTGCTTATACTTTCTTAGGGATATCACCACTCCCGTGTGCGCTCGGTCGCTAATCATCTCTACACTGAAAGGCAAAACTGCTGCAATATCAGAAGGTCAACCTTAATAAGTCATACTTACAGTATATCAGCGGTCGTAGACTTTCCGAGTCCTGTCGGTCAATAAATTTCTTCCTTTGTTTGAATCTTTCGCCAAAACTCGCGTGAAAACAGCAACACAGAATCGCCATGGCACGATGCGATCTACTGACCGTCACAACCGGCGACGCCCACCCACTCAAATCTCACGAGGGGGGCGTAGTTGTAACCCGCGCGTGGAATTATCTATAGAGAGATGGACGAGCACCAGATCTGAACCACTCCATCCCTCCCACTCCCCCCATACCTACCGTGCTTCGATGGCAGGACAGTTAGCCCAATCCCTTGTCAGCTGGCAGCGCCAAAATTCCGTCTTCGCTTGTCACATACAACTTTCAGGTACCTTGGCGTTACTTTGTCCTCAAAGTTTTCGACTTTCCTTCCATATTGAGTCCCTATTTACTAAAGTTCGTAAACTTCTTTATAACATTTGTCGTTTACGTTCCTACCACAAATCTCAGTCCTTAGTCTGCTGATTCATCGACGCCTGCAATCTTTCTCTTATCCTATATTGCCCTCCTATCATTTTTCCTGCTTTGCTCAAAAAATATCTTTTAATGTTAAAACGAGTCCTTCAAATGCTCTTTTCTGCCGTTGGTGTTTCTTATCTTTTTTAGTCGACATTATTCTACAACGACATTTCAATATGGTCAAGCAATTCGCTGGTCGGATTATAGATAATGTCGCCCAGCCCTTGCATTCTAATCTTATCTCTGCGAAGTCTTCCCGCCCGATGCGCCGTGGCTACCGATTTATGTCTTGTCGCACATCGGCATATCCAGATTCTGTATGACCATTCCTGGCGCGCTAACTTATGTGTGAAGAGATAGAAATACAGAAGCTAAGACTTGAACTGTCCCCATAATAATCGTTCCTTTTATGTTAAACTTTTTGACTCTGAAATAAGCTATTAACTTCTTTGCTGCGCACAGTGAATGAAGCCAATTTTTGCGGAAAATTTTGAATTTATGATTTCAAAATACAGCGAATTCCTCTCTCATTCGAAAAACTTTCTCACTATTTCCCTCGCGCCAGTGCACCTCTGTGAGGTCTCGGATACACCTCTGTGTGGAGTGTCACAAACGCCGCATTAAGACTGATTGATTGCAGTTTGACCCACAGTCGTGATAAAGACCGAGGTATCCAGCCAGTTGGCAACCCTTGAGAATCGCGTTTTTGAGTGTCTCGTGTCAAAAGCGTCAGATATATGACTGGGAAGGGGGAATGAGTTGATTCGTCACGAGGATCCATTCCCAGTGTCGGTCCTACTTTCTCTTTGCTTTTTCATGCTCCAGTCGACTGTGTCTGAGCCTGTCAAAAAAGAGATTGGCGAGATTGAACAGAATGGCTGACAAGGTGGAGCTGACGTCTGTGCCTGCTACTCACGGCCCAATCTCCGCCTCATGGAGTTGGGTGCACCGAATGACATGGTTTCTATTCCATATTCGAGTACCGCCTGCCATACGGGCGCTGGCAAGCTTCCTGTAGAAGTATTACATGATATGAAACGGGGAGATGTCGCATCCGCGCATTTTCTGGAATGGGTTCATCTACAGCATCAGGTATGCGTGTGCAGTTAAGGTGGGGTGTAATGATGTGGTCCGGACCGCGCTGTTTTACTGAAGATTTTCGTGGAGTCCCATATGGTAGAATAGGTTTGCGTGATAACCTAATCATCTGGGACGGTGGGGAGGGGAAGTTAGATGGGAGGGACGAGTGTATGGTGGAGGTAACGATATCGGTTTGTCGGGCACAGTGCGGTGGACTTGCAAGTTACCGACCAGGACGGTGTATGATATGAATGTGCAACCGTAATGGGGACTTGCTTGCACCGATTCTAGTGGTGATGTTGGTGGCGCCGTCAGTGGTAGTGGGAGGGTAGGTAAATGGATAGACAACTTGTCAACAGATGAATGACGAGTTCTCTTTTCTCTGATCCCGGAGCCGCTATACTCAGCAGATGGTGCTGGTTGATATATGACCGACGTCCTATACATTTTTCTGATCCGTCCTAAGTTTGGGGAGCCGGAGACAAACAGTTTCATGCTTCGCTGCGTGTCTGCTTTCATAGCGATACTAAGTATGCAATTATCCTCAAAAGGTAGGTCATGAACACTGCTCGGGGAGACTCGCACGAAAGCCTGCGTGCGTCAGACGGAGAGTACTTACTCGTAAGTTAAGCATTCGGCGTTTATTTTGGCTGCTGCTCAAGTCGAGCGTCCTTCGACATGGCATAGAACATGAGGTTGAAAGGGGTGGAAGCTAGTACGCAACTTTAGTTAACGAAATTTTCCACCTTGAATACTTCCGACTCTTTCGTATTGTCCTTAGTGTGAGCTATCATTCTTTCGCGAGTGTGTCGTAGCATCTTTGTATATCTCTCTGGCAGTAGAATTTCAGAATGTTTGGCTATATCGCAGTTGGTAGCCAGGGATGGGGAAGCGGACGACGGCCTTAACCCTAACCCTAACCTCAACCTTTAACGTTAATCCTAACGGCAACCCTGACCCTAACCGAAGTCGTAAACGTAGCCGTAGCCCTTAGACATAACCCTCTCTGGAAACCCTAACCGTAATATTGAAAGCTATTCGTACGCTCAAACCCTAAACGTAACCCGAAAACCTAAGCCTAAAGGCGTAATCCTAACCCGAAAAACTGAAACCATTAGTCGGTACCCCAATCCTAACCTCAAACGTAAAATGGGTCAGAGGTGATTATGGAGCCCCACAAAATAGTCCCAGTAAACAAACCCCCCAGCCACCTGTAAGACGGGGTCTGGTTACCAACTGCGATCTAGCCTATTATTTTCCAGAGTCCATCGCTGTTAATCGTATCGAAGGCCTTTGTTGACTCCGTGAGTGTAGTGTAGATTCTTATCCTTATTTATCGACATTCCTCATGTATATGACTTGCAGCGATGATCATGTTGATGGTTCGGTGGTCCTTTCGAAGTTTGCATTGATTTTCTGGAAGAAATCACACACCGCCTTTTCTTAGTAACCTTATTCGATTATCCTTTCTCAGCATCCTCAGCAAATACCGAACTTCTTCTTAGCTGAGATTTGGCCCGCGGAGACCTCTCTAGGATGACATTCGTTGTAAGTTTTAGCCGTACATTCGACCATTGTTCATTTTGTAGCATTTTTGTAGGCCATGATATCCTTTTACTGGCGGACCACAGGCCGTCTATTTTGACCTCCGAAA